GGTCCGGGTACCAACCGAATACGATCCAGCAGTGACTGCCGACCGTTTTTATACGGTTTGACCGCGACGGATTTCGCCCCTTTCCCATGGATTTGGACGGATATTTTGACTTCTTTATGAATTGTTTCGAGTTGTAAATCCTTTTGATCAGTCGACGAGAATTTGACTGAATAAAAACAATCCGCGAATGTATGATTCATTCGCTGTTTGCGACAGCACGAGTTTGCAGTTTCTGTGATCAAAAAGAAATGATCTGTATCATTAGTAGTAATTCAATATCTTGCACGAATCCCGCCGTGTTTCAAGTATTCGCTGTACATTCCGCAGACAAAATAAATTTCTGCATCCACAAATACTTCGAAGATTTCATAAATAATCCATGATACTTTGATGTGTCATCCATCTTACCGTCACGACAATTGGTCGAATATGCGACACAGTATGAAAATATTTTCAACGTTTTGATAAAACTAACAGAATTCGCAATTCGGTCCATCGTAATAATCTCGACACGAGCAAGCGATATGAGTGTCATTCACGGTCTCACAGTCACCATGTTCACCGCAGCTGTCCGGCTTACAAACGGCAGCCTCTTCGGGACAAACTGAAATGGAAATATGTGCACATTCTGATGGTATCGACAGTGAATTTTGGTGTATTCTAAGAATTTTTTTGGAGTGTCGAACATGTTTAGCAATTGAAACCATACACGAATAAGACAGGTGATAATCCTTAAAAACATCAGACTTGAAGAGTTTTTGAAGCGAAATGTACATATTCGGGAAGTTTTTGGGCTGGGATGGAATACCGAGCGTTGTAAATATGAATTAGAAACGTAACAATGATAGAAGTGATAAGAGCAGTGATAATGAGTAAGTAAAGATCAATAATGACACTGATACTGTCTGAAATATTCATAGCAATGAATGAAGTCACTGGAGTATTATATGGGGAATGAACGGAGATCGATAAGATTGATATCCATTTAATGGTAAAAATAATTATGACTATAACAGTAACGGCAATAATGATAACAATAGGGTTTGCAAGGGATCCCGGGATCCCAGGATTTCAGGTCTGATCTCGATCCTGGGATTTAAGTTTTGAAAAATCCCGGGATTTCGGGATTTGA